TCATATTTCCCCATCTTTCCGAGTATCTTAAATTTGTATTTAAAAATTTTTTTCCACTAATTTTCGTGCACAACGAAGCTTTTCTCAAGATCCCAAACGCTTCGTTGTAACGAGATTATACTGCAATTCTTTTAAATTCTTCACTGTGCAAATTTTCTTCGACAGGATGAAAAAAATGGGGTGAAGCTCTCAAAGTGAGAAGGGGAAAATTCTTTATTCTCCCCATCTGTCCTCGATGAGAGTCGCTTAAATTTATACGGCTGACGAAACCTTCGGGAGACGTGCCTACGTGGAAATAGAAGAAGCCCCCGTGCATATGAAGGGATCCCTTCCTCCTCAATCGAAATTATATTTTTGATTCTCAGAGTGTCTTCGCGTAGAGACTCCACCGGTATTCAATGAACCTAAACTGTGAAGGCTGGTATTGAGAAGCAATCCCGGAAATTCGTAGCGACCATCTGCTGCAGCAGAGCAGTGTCACAGTCACGCGCAGGAAAGTTCAACTGAAAAATATCCAGCAGATTGAGTTCTCATCCGGCACACACAAAAAAAGAGACCCATACCTTACACACACACACAGTCCCTTCAACGAAATGGGTTCTCTCTTTTCCCGGGCTCAATAAAGAATTGCTTCTGACAACCAGGCGGATCCCAACCCCTTTCTTCTTCTCTCTCTCTCCCTCTCGTTCTCCTCCAGAGGCCGGAAGGGTTTTCTCCGACGGTTTGGTTCCCCCTTCTTGTTCCGGCCAAGATTAATTCCTCGCACGTCTATGCGGTGTTCCTCAATTACATCCCTTCCTGCGTCTAATAAGCTGTTCCATTACGGTCCAGTTCCGCAGAGAATACCGTTAGAAAAAGAAAAAAAGACTGGCTACGTTAATGGGCACTACGCCTAATTTCGGCAAAGAGAAAATCATGTCGTTGATTCTCAATCGATTTCATTTAGCTGCGCTGTTTCTGCTTATATTGGTGGAATCACGCCCTTGGGGTTTAACTCGAGAGAAAACGGCTTCAACCCGTCAAGCAAGAATAAACGTGTGTAATATGCCGTATTCCCGTGAAGGGTAAGCCTTCATCGATTCTAAAAGACCCAAGAGGGATCCTGTGATTCAGTGTCTTGTCTTGTTTTATTCCACACTTTCAGAAATAAATGCATGAAAAATGAAAATAGCTTTTTATGATATGCACCGTATCGATAAAATATTCCTCCCCATATAGTCCAACAACACCAACACTTGTCTTGGAGAGGAATTTATCTTCAGGAAAGATTCAATATCTAAAAATAATTCCAGAAAAGTCAATTGGTCATGAAAGAGGATATCTCCTGGATCTTGTATATCCATAATACTCCCCGCACTTTAACGATCACACATTCACGCATAAAGACTTCAAATTACTCAGATCTTGAAAAGCACCGCGAATTTTTGGACCATCTCATCAACTATGAACAAGCTTTTCGCAAGCGACTTCGGGACCCCGTCAATTTCAAGACGAACCCAGATTTTGTCGCGTAAAAATCGGGTAAAAGGAGTTTTATATTCCCGTAAATGCGGAAATACAGAGGGAAAATTTGCGCTCAGTTAATCGCCCTTGAAAAGCCTTAATAACAATTAGGCTTCCGTAATACCTGGTTTGAAGCGCGATCTTCTCCATACAGAGTTTCTTCAATCGCCGTGGTTGCAGAATGTTTCATTAAAAAATTACCGAAAATTTTTAAAACTTTATCCTACACCCCCACAACAGAAAACAAAAACAGGTTTCCTGAGTCTCCAACAGCAAATACAGTACCGACACTTCCGAAAACCGGTATCAGGCGAAACTGTCAACCATTAAAATACAGTAGACAAGATCGTGATAATCGTAAATAAATGTACCAAATTTATTTACGAGTAATATTATTTACGTGAGATTCCCTTTTGCAATAGTTCATTTCAAGAAAGAGTATGTGCAGAGTATGTTTTTTTATTGCATTCATTTGAAAACACACCCCAGCTACAAAAAGGAAAAAATCTACAATGTAAAATCGCTTATTCTTGAGTCAAACTCCAAGTAAAGGTTTTAGGGTACTTTCCTGTTATCTCAGTACCTACTTTCCTGTTATCTCTGTACCTTCCCTCTGACCAATTTAACCAAACCTAACTTTACCCAACCGCCTCCCAAAATCAGTTTCAGCAGAATGCGGAAAAATAAAATTAAGTTTCTGGTAGGTCGTCGTGATTATGAACTCGTCCTTAAGATTTGTCTGGAAGTGCGGTCTAGGAATGAGGTACTGAGATAACAGAAAAGTACCGGTTTTAGAACCAGCAAATTGTTTTCGAAGGAAAAGTATTCTTATGCAACAATCAACAATTGAAATACAGTGCCAATATCAACATTAGCCAAAACGAATCATTGAAACGTTTACAATCCTTCCAAATGATCTAACAATCTGAAAAATTGTAATTACAAATTCAATACTGCGCAAAAAACTTTGACTAAACACGGAAATCAGCATGTTTCATTACAGTTTCTTGACGAAGGTTCAAGGATCTTCGGCAAACTACCTACTCGCAAATATTTGCCACTTTCGGCACCCAACGAAAAATAAACAAAATGCGAAACGTGAGTGAGTTTTCATGCCTCTCCAAAAAAAAAAGCTATGCAATCACATCCTGGAAAATCGCGTAAGCTTCCTCTCTAGTTCAGCGTCCCGTTCGTCACCAGCTAGCTGTCGTGCCCTGGGCTGCAAAGACCCCCGAAGCACAAGATCCCACTATCCCCAGCGAGCAAAGTCACCTCTGTCGTTCACTTCAATGATACCCCGGAAAATCGATGCCCTCGTGTAATAGATTTTACGCAATCGCAAAATTTTGCTTCGGATACTGGACCATTGATTTGAATAATGAAGTGCATGACGAAAGTATCAACCTTTTTATTGAATTTGTCAAGGGAAATGTAGCTGCAAGACGCCGTTTTAAAAGTGGACAAAGGTACAGTAATTGTTATCTTAGTTTTGGAGAGTTGCTGAAGATATTTTACGCTAACCACATACTCCGAAATTTATCTGAAAATTTATGCAATACACTTCAAGACCTTAAACGTGTTTTTTTAATCCAACAATTTGTATGATAAATACTGTATTTTAACCACATACTGTACTCCGTAATTTATCTCTGACAATGAAATATATCCCAAAGATATGTTTAACTTTTTTTTCCACGCGGTTTCGCGTTATTGCCTAGAGTGAGTTTCTGTGAGGGATAAGCCATTTTATGCAGATTTAAATTAATCCCCGAGTTGAAGTCCCACAGGAATTAGACCAAGTCCATTAACCGAGGCAGACGTGTAAAGTACAGTATTCGAAAAATAAAACAGTCGAACAGAGACCAAACTCATTGGCGACTTCAAATAACGCGACTGTCTTTCCAAAGTCACTTTTTCAATGCAGTGGAAATCGTTGGATAAATCACATGACCTAATTCCCATTAGAAACAGTCTTATTCATGTCGAAAACCTTGTGTTGATTTTTAAAACGTTCGAAAAATGATAATTTGCAAACTTACAGTATCGTATACTATTATTGATGGGATCTTCACCGAACTTATTCGATCATCTGCCGCACTTCATCCACGTATTTAAATAGACTCAGGGCAGCCTATGCCCGACATTTTCGAGAATATGCGGTCTACGCATATCATAAAATCACGAAAAATATCAGGACGTTTCATTTCGCACAGGTAGTATTTTTACTTGATTTTTTTTCAAGCATGTACCGTCTTCGTTTTTTTTCCGAATTAAAACACCCCCCCCCCTCTTCAACGACAGTGACCTTACTCAACAGAACATGAAGCAGAACGAAAAAGAACCCCTCAGTGTCGCGGAAACCCAGCTAGGGATTGATGGGTGCAACCATCAGCTATGCACGCGGAGGAACAGTGGCATTCCCCGTTGGCAATCAGACCAGACGGCTTTGGCGTCACGCCAGCTTCTCCTTGTCAATCAACATTTCTTTTTTCGCTACTCTTTTTCAATGAAGATTCAACACATTACGCAAAACTGTGTCTCCTCGATTAAAAAAAAAAAGACAAGAGCATACGTTGTCGCAATTTGAACTGGAATTTGATTACGCGATCCAATCGGACACAAAATAAGATTCGTTTCAGCACTCCGGACGCAGTCATAAATCGAATGCGAAAGACATACGATTTTCAGGATTCGTGAGAAATCAAGAGCACAGCTCGGGCCAATTGCACTTCGTAGTTCTTGTAAACCCAAGTCTTTCGGCAAAAAAGAAAAGCAAGTACAGTACTGTATACCCGCTTTAAATACTGCTTCTTCCCCGTCCGAATTGAATTTTTGCGGCATATGCACTCTTCGCATATCCCTGCCCGAAATCAGGGCCCAGGACAAATTCGAGTGAATATCGTGTCAGTGAGTGGACTCGGGAAATTGAAAAAATAAATCACTCGTGATTGAACAGGTCACTTGAACAAGTAAAAGTTCTCGTCCGAAATGAAATCGTGAGATATTTCAGGAATTCCATCGTGAAAGAAAAAGAGACTCCCCCCACACGGAGAGTAGTAATTATTAATACAATACTATCAATGTAACCTTTGCAGGTTTCCAAATATGAACAGGAAAGAACATTTTCATCATTGCTCCATCGCGTGAACGTAGACGTCAGTCCCGCTACAATATTTGCACCGGGAACACGCGAGAAGTTACGAAAAATTAATCACGGTTTTCATCAAGAAAAACGGCACGGAAAAATCTCAAAAATTGTTTTTTAGCTACTCTGACTCTGCGAAATCCGAGTTAATGCACTTCGGAAAGAAGGCTTCATTTGCAAATTCGGAAAGAGAAAGAGTTAGTTTCGGATGATTTTTGTTAAGACAAGTCACAAATTCATTGGACGACCTGCGCGCGAGTCGGAGGAGGAAAACACTGATTTTATTCTGGAGTCGAATCAACACTCCTCGTTCAATTGCACGAGCAAAAAAAAAAAGACCGGAAATCCTTACCTGAGAATCTGCATTGTCCTCTTTTTCGCGGTCAATTTTTTTGGGCGAACGAGCGGCGCGCTGATACGGATCTGCAGTACCGTATAAATCCGGTGTGCCCATATTGAGAAGGCAGGTGCGCTGCAGCATGTCTACAATCACAAGCCCGCTCTCGTTTCCATATGCCAATCTGAGCGAACGATAAAATGAAAGCGATAGTATCACGACCCACCACGGACTCCACAAATGAATACTGTACAGTATTGTTAAATTTGGTTGAACCTCTCTAAGTCGAATTTCTAGGGACCCGGAAAAAATTCGAATTAGGGAGGTTTTGAGTAAAGTAAACAACTATTTCTGCTGCAAAGAAAATGGGAAATTGGAGATGAGGATATTCTGGGCCTAAACTTGCTTCTTAATGAGTTTACAGCTTGCTGAACTTGTAGGTAGGGGTTCATTTGTTCAATTTGTCTTCCACTTCATTTCAAAATGCATAGAATAATTTGTTTAGTTGATTTTCTCTTACATTTTTTTTTTATCCACGTACAAGGAAATACCAACCAAAACGCCTCAGAAAATTCAACAAACAGAGGTTTGAGAGAAAAATACTGCAAGTGAGGAAGGTATTTGACTTGGGGAGGTTCGACTTAGCAAGGTTCAACTGTAGTACACTTGTGTATAACAGAAGTTTCCGACTCCTTGTCATTCCAAATTTTTATAATTTTCATGGGAGTAAAATTCAACCATTCCCTGCTGCCAATGGTCACGTATAATTGGGGCCCCAGGATGCGGACTAATCGGTGCTTGGACCTTGTGAAAAAATATTTATAAAAAAAAAAAAAAAAAAAAAAAAAAAAAAAAAAAAAAAA